GATAGACTACTAGTCTATCTATATTACCTAAAGGAAGATTCTGAGATCATTTTCACTGGATTTTTTTTTTAAATAAAAAACAAAAACAAAAAAAAACATTTTCCACCATCTGACTTCATCATGTGCTTTGAATCTAAGTTTAAATACAAGCACCCTGAAGAGGAACAGATCAGAGTTTGTGCTGACCCTTAATTCACTTACTATCAATAATATCTCCCAGGCCCTGAGCACGGAGAAGGTCCTTCAGCCGCGTCACCTCCTCCTTCAATTCGCGGACCAGTTTGGCATTGGGGTCCTCATTGATAACAGCGTTGCACTTAATTTGTTTTGCACGGTCTGCATATCTATATCCAGAAAGAACATTCATTTTTGCCATTCCTCAGATACTCCACTTCTCCTAAGTAACGTACCATTACTTCTATCTCTAAATCAAACGGCTTGAGCATTTGCACACTTCATGAGCCTTACTAACAGTAGGTGCATCAGAAAGTTTTATAGTATCTTATCGATTTGAGGAAAAAGGCTCAGATGAATTTTAGTGATTTACCCCAAATCATAAAAGAAATAAACACCAGAAAGAGAACCTAAAATGCATTTGTCAGACTGTACAGGATTCTTTCCATCACCAGGAGAAGAGTAGAAAGTTCTAGATTAAAGTAATGAAAACTATTCATATATAGAAATACAGCTGACCCTTGAACGATATGGGTTAGAGCTACATGGGTCCACTTATAATCAGATTTTTTTTTTTATAAATATAGTCCAGTACTGTAAATGTGTTGTCTCTTCCTTATGGTTTTCTTAATAACATGTTCTCTCCCATCACTCACTTTATTGTAAGAATACAGTATGGCATTATATACATATACCTATGTACACGTACAACATACAAAATATGGCTTAGTCAACTGTTTATGTTATGAGTAAGGCTTCTGGTCAACAGCAGGCTGTTAGTAATTCGAGTTTTTGGGGAGTCAAGTTATATGCGGTTTTCCAACTGTGCAGAGGTTTGGTACCCCTAACCACTGTGTTGTTCAACAGCCAACTATATTCTACTAGTGAACAGCCTGTAATTTTTTAACACTACGTACACTCATAGCTGTGTTACTTGTTAAGAGCTGAGCATCTCTATAATGACAACCACCGCAAGGGAACTTCTTTTTACAGAAATGAAAATTGTAACAAACTGAAAGTGAAACTGAAAACCATAAACAGGTCAATTCTATTACAATAATAATCTCCCCCACCCAAAAAAATAAAATAAATAAAAATGAAAATCTCCCCCAACCCATGTTTTCCCTGTTATGAGAGGGATGGATCATTACTTACATAAAAAATTACCCAGATAGCATAAGAAAACCAACGGTGTAACAAAATGACTTATGTGGCACGGTAATCTACTTAGCCATCAAGATCAACTGGGAGTACCTCAGAGTGCTCAAAGTTTCGTCATAGTTGATATCTGCTGGGCTCAGAGCAGCAACCATTGCAGTTCGAGAATTGCCACCTAAGAAGATGAATCATGGTTATCGCAAATCATACACATTTTAGAAAGAAGAATTTTATTAAATTTATGTCCAATTAGACAACACCACCTCGGATCCCAAGATTTAATCAAGAGTCAACAAATGTCTTGCATGCTCCCATGTCGGGCACTGTTACACCGTTAATCTTGGTGTTTGGATCTACTGTGACAGTTTCCCTCTCCCACCCCAATGGAGACTTCAGCCACTCCACCAAAATGCCTTTAGTGAGTCCAAGTCACAGTGATGAGGACAGGCCAGTGGGCCATTCTCAAGCCTCTTCCTCCTATCAGCGACATCTGACATAGCTCATCACTCCCTTCTCATAAGGAGAGAAAGAGGCGAACAGAACAGAGAATAAAGAGAATGACCTGGAGGTCAAAAACCATCAGCAAAAAGGTAACACGGAGTTTCCAAAAGAGGTTTGAAGAAGGAGCGATAGTTTTGAAGCAGATGTGGTTAGGAAGACCACCACACCAGTCCCTGTTCTGAGGTCAACACGATGCGGGAGAGAACCCTGATTAAAGAGTGAGCAAATCCAACCAACTTAAATCAAGAGTAACATGGGTATCTGGAGATTAATTTTCTCCAAAACAAACATAAAAGACAAATAACCACAAAAGATAATCAGTAAACAGCGTTAAACAGATAACTACACACCAGTGATCGACATACCTAGATTTTCTCGAAGGAGCCAAGTAAGTACAGAATCCCTGTAAGGAATAAAATCAGTCTTCTTCTTCTTCTTACTCTATTAAACAGAAAGAAATGGTCTTAGCATTGTTAGGGAGGAAAAATTCACAGGAAAGGCAAACCAGTCTAAAATTCCTAAGTAAACTACAGTAGAACCCCATCACTGTAGAAATTTAACATTCAGGCTTCAATTCTTCACAATACCCAAAGTTCATGCAATAAAACAATTTTTTTCTTTTTATATTTTATTTTGAAAAATTTAGAACATACACAACAGCTTAGAGAGTAGCATAATGACCTACCATACATCCATCATGCAACTCCAACCATTGCAATCATGTTTCTATTATCCCTCAAACACTTTACACTTTTTCTTCCTGAACCATTTTGAATAAATTGCAGGCACCATGCCTTTTAATCCCTAAATATTTCAGCAGATAAGGACATTCTCTTACTTATTAGTCACATTTTAATGACCGAATTCAGGAAATTTAACTCAATATACTATTATCCAATATCGTGTCTATATCATATCTTTTACAGCTGGTAGTGTTTTAAAGCAAATCCAATATTTCACCTATAAATAAATACTTTAGATACATATTTCCAACAGAGAAGAACTTTTTTCTTTTAAGCAGAACCGTAAGACCATATCACACATAACAAAATCAACAGTAATTCCTTAACATCGTTCTCATTTCCAAGCCTCAAACAATGGTATTTCACTTTTGCAGAGGGGCAAATATGAATCCTGGGCATTGCAGGTTAGATGTGTAGGAGCCAAGTCATTTAGTTAACGAATTTACTTGGCCAACCACCAAATCATCAAGTGGACTGCTGCATCTCTAACAACTCTTGTAAAAGTAATATACATTTGGTTTCTTTAGAAGGAAATTATACCCCAAATAAATCCAACTGACAGAGTTAGGACTCAAGGTGAAAAGGTCTAAGACAATGATGTGATTTACTAATCTGAAGATCTGTAAAGGCTGCGAGATGAATTGTCCGCATATACGTATTAAGCGTTTACTTATACAGCTGTGACCCTTCGCATTATCATGAGATAGAGCAAAAGGCACCAATACAAAGCCAGTACTAAAATGGAATTATATCCTTTGAAAGTAAAAATTAATGCAAATCTTTTGCAGATAATAGCTACTGCAGTTTGTTCTGACTGACGACTAAGTCGTAACAATTTAAGAAGCCACTAAAGGAAGCCAGGGTTCACTGATAAAACATCTCTCCCCAGTCCTGGTATAATCTGAGGTTAAAGTTTAAACTAAGGATGATCTAGTTCTTACAAAAGCATGGGTATTCAGAAAAAGAGTACTAAGTAGCTGACCTCTGGTCTGTTGAGGAGGAAAGGAAGTAGGCAAGTAGCACTTTAATTCCATCTCTTATCAAAAACATCCCCTCCAATTCATCCTAGTCCACCCACAGACACACTTTCCACCAATGAGAAAGTCACTTCCCACAGCAGGATCTATTTCTAAATGACACAGACCTGTAAGGAGAATTACCCCTCTGTCTTCCACAGCTTAGTGGGAGAATCCGTGCACTGCAAAATTCCTGAGGCCTGAGACCTCAATTCTTCCTTCTCTAGCCCCTCACCACACCTAAACACTCCACTATGCCTACGGTTAGTACTGAAAATGCTGCAAGAGCTAATTTATCAGTTACAAGGACGGCAAGCAGTACTATAAAAATAAGCAGTGTCTCTTTGCCAAACAATGTTCTATTTTCATTTTGGTCAATTAGACTAAATTAAGAAGGAGTAGCTAAATAAAGAACCATTAACAGAACTTCTACCTTTTCCATTTGAAAATATCTCAGAATTTTAGCCACTTCTTTTCTAGTTGCTCTCTTACATTATTAATCTCATATATTCTCACAAATAAGGGCCTCAGTAATTACCTAAAAATGTTTACTTACTGACATCACTAGCCTCTCTAAAAAGAAGTACTATCAAATACGGACAGTGTAATCCTGTTTCCCTCCCCAGTAGAAATAACAGTATATTTTAATTCACCCAAAATTATACTTATTACATAAAAACTAAAATTTGTCTTTGATCTATTATAGTTATGGCACAGATGCGAAGTTCTAAACTGGATTTTCCAAAACTAATCCTAAAAAAATCATTTGCAAACGATTGTGACACAGAGCAATATGGGAAATATGCAGGTAAATACTTTGTAAACTTATCCTCTGGTTGATAATGAATGTTAAAAATGAGCACATGGACAAGTTAGAAAAACCACTAAATTTTAACAGTTTTCATGTCTGGGGACTCAGATTAGGTATCTGAAGAATATCCACACATACATAAAATCAAACAACAGACTTTTTAAATCTAAGGCAGCTTTTCCAATAAACCAAAAGAAACAAAGCATTACTTTCTATTAAGTAATTTGTGTACAAGTAGAAAACAAACCTATATATTTTAAAATATGAGTATAAAATATTTCTTTGCAGGGACACCTGGGTGGCTCAGGCAGTTAAAGTGTCTGCCTCTGCTCCTTCCTGTCTCTCTCACTCTCAAATATTAAGTAACATCTTTTTAAAAATAAAATAATTCATTGCAGATACTCCCTTTATCTCCAATGTTATTCATGTGACTCAAAACTGTTGAGTGCTCTACTATTAATGCAAAATAGTACTAAGAAATTCTAGAGTATGTGTATAGAAATATAAGGAAAAGTCTATTGTATTTGGATTAAGAGGATGCAAAAGAACTTTTTTCTTTAAAGATTTTATTTATTTGGGGCACCTGGGTGGCTTAGCCATTAAGCGGCTGCCTTTGGCTCAGGTCATGATCCCAGCGTTCTGGGATAGAGCCCCACATTGGGCTCCCTGCTCCGTGGGAAGCCTGCTTCTCCCTCTCCCACTCCCCTTGCTTGTATACCCTCTATCGCTGTCTCTCTCTGTCAAATAAATAAAATCTTAAAGAAAAAGGACTTTATTTATTTATGACAGAAATATAGCGAGAGACAGAACACAAGCACAGGGGATCTGGGGAGAGAGAGAAGCAGGCTCCCCGTTGAGCAGGGAACCCGATATGGGGCTCAATCCCAGAAGCTGGGATCATGACCTGAGCCAAAAGCAGACACTTAAATGCTGAGCCACCCAGGCGCCCCAAAGAGCATGTGTTCTAGAGATGGAGTTTAACTTGATTCTATAGCCTTCACTTTATATATAACCAAAGAGTAGGAAAAAAAAATTTTTTTAACAATTTAAATAATCCATGACTTTTCATGATAGGAAACAAGATTATACAAAGAGGTTTAAGAAAAATATCCTAATACTTTCAAGAAGGCAGTTATGTTTTAGAAGAGTACCCATAAGAAATATCTTCATTGCCCTTTCAAGAGCTTTAAAGGTGACTTCTTCAAGTGACAGTCCCACAGATCACTAGGAGAAACATTAAAAAAAACACAATGCAGACGCTTCCTCATTTTCCCTCTTGTTCCTTTATTCTGCATTCCCTCTCCAAAGCAAATCATGTTCCCTAAATTAGGTTTGGTGTGCAGTCTCATGATTCGTGGTCACTGTGAACAGCAATTCAAAATTCCAGAGCCAGAAAGCAAGTAACAAAAAGTTGTTTTTCAAGGCTCCATTCCTCCTTATGCCTCCATACATCCTGCTGAGGATTCACAATCATCACAATTGATTCTACAGCTAGTTCATTCCTACCAAACCCCTCCGTACCTTGCTGGTGCAGTTGTCCTACAGATGAAGCATTTAAAAGAAAGAACACAGGATTAAGCCTTCAAAAAGAAAGTACTTTAATCAATTGAGTATGACTTTTCAGAAACAAGCAAGGAAGCATCTAATTCTTTTTAGGGATTCAAACGATGTACTAAACTAGAGTATACAATGACTAGTACCTCCTTAGCCTTTAATCTAAAAAATGAAGCCCATGACACAAAACTGTTACAGTTACAGTATCCCACTGTTAAAGAATAGGAAAGAATAACACAACTTTAAAAAATACATTATTGGCCCCCAAATCAACAGCATTCACCAAGGCAAATGCTTAAAAAAACTCCAAAAGGTACTGTAACCTACTTTAAAAAGATTGTATAGGAAAAGATTATGCAACAAAATCCTTGGTTTTGATGAGAGAGCTGAAGGAAGGCTCAAAAAGCAACCAAACCCTAGGTCTTCGTAAATAGTTTTCAGTCTGGCCTCTACAGATCTATGTTTACTTTCACTCTCCTTGATCTCTTTTGTGTTCGGTAGAAAGTCAAAGTGTGTTATACCTAGTATCTTATCTGAAAAGCTCTAAAAGGAGAAAGCAAGATTACACAAAAGGGCCAAAAAAGGTCAGTCTTCATAAACACATAAAATATCATCAAGTACATTTGCTGAACAGACAAGTTTTCCCATGTAATCAAGTATATAATACTTACCACCTCTGCCAAGGCTGAAATGACTTTGCCCAGAGTTGTGAGAGACTTATTAATATTCGCTCCTTCCTGAAATCAATACCAAACATGAAAGAATTATGATGAAGAGTATCTTCTATGGCCACATAATCTATAACGCACAGGATACAACTGAGCTAGCACTCTTTGTTGACTTACGACCACAAATCCTAAAAACCTCTTTTAGTCCACAATCTCCCCTGTTCACATTAATGCCATGCCAGGACCACACGCCTAACTCACAGTCCTGAGTATGGGCAAGATGGCTTGCCCCAAAAGCTTACGGACGCTGCCTTCTTCCCCCAACTCACCAACATGCGATTTCTGCTCTTGTTAAATAGCCATCCCTCTGGAGAGGGCTGCGTGTGTTCTCACATTTGGATTTTGTGTGTCCCTGTCCCTTCAGGGATGCTTCCATCTAGCCTGTTCCTCAGAACACCTTTCAGCTCTCACCTTGACCATCAAGTCCTCCTTAACTATCACCTTACGTTACTTATCTTCCATCGAATTTACAGATCAGGCGTCAGCAAAATGTCTGTAAAGGTTTTGCAGGCCACGTGTTCTCTGTCACAAGCTCTCAGCCTCACCGTTAGAGACAACACACGAACAAATAGAGGGGACTGTGTCCCAGTAAAACTTCATTTACAGCAACAGGTGCGGGTCAGATTTGACCCGCTGGCCACAGTTTGCTGGCCTGTGCTACAGAGCGTTTACTGACTAGGTCAGCTGCTTGATAAAATCAGTACCTTCAATCGCGTCCCTTTGGCGCCAGTTGAGTCGGCTCGCTCGCTGCCCGCCAGATCCACCAAGCTGATTTTACTGACCTGGTCAAGAACAAGGACATTGGGGCAATTCAAAAACCAGCCAGGTAGAACCAGGAAACACCAAGAGGCAGGAAATTAAAAATTAGGCGTGCAGAAGACTACAAATACTTGTTAGAGCTCTTACATACGGCACAGGGAGACACAGCAGGCACAAAAGTTCACAGCAATTACCTTGGTTCAAAATAAGTCATTTTAAGATACACAGGACATATGTTATAACAGTGTGTCATAAAACTCATTAACCCAATAAATGGCACATTAAATATGAAGCCTCCAGCAACTGGAACCCTCACACACTGCTGGTGGGAATGGAAAAGGATACAATCACTCTGGAAGGCAGTTCAGCAAAGTTGTAGACCTACAGAGCTTAACATATGCTACCATAGCCTCAACCACTCCACTCCCAGGTATTTACCAAGAGAAACAAGAGCAAACAGCCACACAGACTTGTACACAAATGTTCATGGCTTTTTCATTTTCATGCTCAAAAACTGTCAACAATTTAAATGCCCCCCAACAGGCGAGTTAATGCACTAACTGTGATCTAGCTATATAATGGAATACTAATCAGCAATGAAAACAAGTGAACTACTGTTGCACAAAACAACACAGGTGAATTTCAGAATTATGCTAAGAAAGAAGCAAGGCAAGAAAACAGTACATTCTATTCATTCCATTCTTATAAATTCTGGAAAGTGTAAACTAATCTGTAGTGACAAAAAGCAGATCAGAACTGCCTAGTAAGTACGAGGGTGGAAGGAGTGACACGGTTATTATAAGGTGGCATGAGGCAGCTTTTCAGGGGAATGGACGTGGCTACGATTTGGACTATGATATTGATTTTACAGGTGCATACACACTAATCCGATTTTATACTTTATGTGTGGTCTATTGTACTTCAACAAATCAATAAAAGTTGTTAAAAAAAATAAAGCTTTGGGAAAGTTAGACAAAAGTATCCAAAATGGATTGTCAAAGGAACTGTGGTTATAGGATTAACATAATTATTTTTGTAGACGGGACATCATAGAAGAAAGGAAAAAATGTTTTCACTCAAGATGTAAATAGCATTAATATTGTAACTAGCTAAGCAATGTCAAGTTATCTGATCACCTATATGAAGGGTGTTTTTTTTTTTTTTAATAATTTTCAGCTAGGGAGGCAAACCATAAGAGACTTAACTCTAGGAAACAAACAGGGCTGCTGGAGGGGAGGTGGGTGTGGGAATGGGTACCTGGAGGACGGGCACTAAGGAGGGCCCTTGATGGAATGAGCACTGGGTGTTCTACATAACTTATGAATCACTAAATTCTACATCTGAAACTAATAACATGGTATATGTTAACTAAATTGAATTTAAATAAAAAAATTTTTAAAAATAAAATAATTTTCAGCTAAAAACAAGTCACCAAGTAAAAGGTGATCCTAGTTTTTAGTGACGTCAGTCTCACAAATTACTCAGTTTGTAAGGCAAAGGATCTTTCATCACTACCAGTATAATAAATCTAACTTCAGGTTTAAAAATCCAGTGGCATGCTACTTAGATACATAGGCAGAGAAGAATTCAACATAAATTTATTACACAGTAAATTCACATTTACTGAATGGTTACTCTGAGACAGGCAGTTACATGCACTAACCTGTATCAATATTTAATCATCTTAACAATCCCATGAGGTTGGGAAAACTGAGGCACAAAGAGGTAAGTAACTTGCCCAAGGTAACAGTGCTGTAAAGTGGCAGAGGCACGATCTAAAGAAAGCAGTTTAACTCCAAAGTCTACTGCATTTAACTACTGTAGAAAAGGAGACAGGAACAAGCAAGGTATTCAAAGAGCATCACAGGCGCTGTGCAGTCCTTTGCTTTCCAAGGAAAAACACACCTTGTCTGCTTAATTGTTGCTTAAATATTTAACCCCCAATAACATTATCAGGGCTCAAAACAAATAAACAAACAAACAAAAATCTACATACCAAACAAGTAATTAAGAGATTCTAGTCAAGAAATAAAAAAGGAAAGATTTTCTCCCCACAGAACTGCTTAATTCTTTTGAACAGAGTAGTTTCTGAGAGAGACCCAAAGTCTCTGTTTTCTCTTAACCCTATTTTCTATCTTGCAATTTCACTCAAAAACCCAAAAAATTTCACTAAAAATTGCTTTTGGATGGGAATAAAAATGACAAGCAAAAGATACAAAATATTCTCTTAAGAAAAAAGGGTAACTTTCTCCGCTCCATAAGCTGCAGAGAGTAGCCAGAGAGACTTCTGAAAATCCCCATTCCATACAACTCAAGCCCGGACACTGACATTGTCCTACCTTCTCAGTGGAAAGGTTGGTCTCAGTATCATGTTTCTTCTGGGTGAAAACAATGGTAAACACAGCATGGGAACGGCTACTTGTTTCATTCATGTTGGTAGCCGCCACCGTCCTAAATAAACATAAAGGTGACATGTGACAATGGAATTCTTAGATGAAAGTTAAAATGGATAGCATAACTATATCAGAAACAATAGCTTTATTCATAGATCACGAGACTGTCACTTGCACAAATTGTTCTCAATACACCTTATTTGTAAGCTTATCAAGTTATCCCCAAATCCAAAGGTCTCCCATCAGAATCATTTTTATACCTCAGTTGTCCCTTTAGAAACCACCGGGGCATTTAATTTGTATTCTTTATTCCACAATTAATTCCACAGGCATATGATTATCCAACATTTTACCACAACCTAATCAAAACCTGATATTTTAACTTAACCAACGTTCTGCCATGTTTCAGCACTGCATTATTTTGATGAGAAGATGCTGAATATGCTGAAGCCCTTTCTTTTTACCCCAGCACAGCCAAGGGATCAGAGGATCTACAATTAAAGCAACTTTCATAAGTATAAAGGTGGTCTCAAATCCTTAACTGGGAACAAAGGACCTGAAAAGGTGCCAAAGCCTTCAGTCATTAGTCTATTTCTACCATACCTGGCTTTGTTCCCAGCATCCATGAGGTCAGCAATGTCTGTGTAGGAAGTGACTGCCAGCTTGGACAGATCCTCCACATAAGGGCCAAGAAGTGGGTGTTCGCGCACACGCAAATGACCCTTGTTTTTTGGATTCAGCAGGTCTCGTACTCTTTCACAGTAAATTTCCATGTAGCTCACCTAAAAATAAATTATTAAGTGAACTGGAGGACTTGGAAAAAGAAATCCTATATATTAAAAATTCTTTTTATACTTTTATTCAAAGCTCTACAGTTGGGGCGCATGGGTGGCTCAGTTAGTTAAGCATCTGCCTTCAGCTCAGGTCATGATCCCAGCGTATTGGGATCGAATTCCGCATCAGGCTCCCTGCTCAGTGGGGAGCCTACTTCTCCCTCTCCCTCTGTAGCTCCCCTGCTGTGTACTCTGTCTCTGTCAAAAAATAAAATATTAAAAACAAAACAAAACAAAAAACCCAACTCTACAATTAGGGGTACCTGGCTGCTCAGCCAGTGGAGCACACAACTCTTGATCTTGGGGTTGTGAGTTCAAGACCCACACCAGGCACAGAGATTACTTGTAAAAAACAGCTCTACAGGGGCACCTGGGTGGCTCAGTGGGTTAAAACCTCTGCCTTCGGGTCAGGTCGTGATCCTAGGATCCTGGGATCGAGCCCCACATCGGGCTCTCTGCTCAGCAGGGAGCCTACTTTCCCTTCTCTCTCTGCCTGCCTCTCTGCCTACTTGTGATCTCTGTCTGTCAAATAAATAAATAAAATCTTTAAAAAAAAAAAAAACAAAACAGCTCTACAACGAGAGATCAGCAATCTTTACAAAGAGAAATGCCATAGGTCTAGTCCATTTCATTCTATTAACAGTCGTACAGACATCACTGTCTAGCTTAAAACCAGCCTTCTGATGGACTCAGGAAAGAAAAGGAGCTAAGAAGGCTACCTCGGCAGTCAGCAGCCACTACCTAAGTCAGAAAAAAATACCATTTTTAGTAGCAACTTACCAGTTACTAATACACTTCTAAAAATGTATGCTGTTGTCAGTAATTGAGGGTTACAGTGAGGTTACTCTAAAAGCTTGGAAATAAAAATTCTATTAGTGTTAACATGAAGAAATACTACCAATGTTCCAGAGCAGGGAAGACAAAAAAGAGACCAGCAACCCCAGTATGGTAACACTAACCACACACAAACCATGTATCTACCACAAGGAGTGAGGACTCGTCAGCATGGAGTCTGACGGCATGGCAAGACCTGTCCACGACTGGTGAGGGGAGAGGAAGCCTCAGCTAATACATTGCTGGAACTCTCGTCCTACCAGCAGGACCATTCCTATCGTGGAGATGAAGGTCTCAGACTGTCCTTTCTTTACCTGAAGCAAGCCAACATCTCACTCATCTAGGAAACTCCTCCCTCTCTAACTCCATGCTCACTAAAAAACCAGCAGGGTTCCAACATAAGTCTGTCCACAGGAAGATAAGATAATATACCAGGCTTGTTAATGTTTAATGTTCTGGTCTAGGGAAGAATAACAAATAAAAGGGAAAGTAACAAATAAAAGTAGTGGTTTCATAAGTCAAATGAGCTTCACTCAAGAGTCTGGCTTTGAAGGTTGCTTCTGGTCCTGATTTATCTGTAAGATCAAACTTCTAGGCAAATAAGGCTCTGGAGTGGGGAATTCACCACAGGAAGACTCATTATGCTCTTCTCTTGTGTATCCTGAGCTATTCAAGCACACGACAGAATTTGGCACTTGTATACTTCACATTTCTATAGACACATTTCCAAGTGTCTGAAACAACAGAACCGCCGTTTCTATTGCTTTTTTCTTTCACTCAGTCTCAGATCTGACTGTATACTTTTCATTTTTATTTTTAAAAAAAGAGTTTATTTATTGGGGCACCTGGGTGGCTCAGTGGGTTAAGCCTCTGCCTTCGGCTCAGGTCATGGTCTCAGGGTCCTGGGATGGAGCCCCACATCATGCTCTCTGCTCAGCACGGAGCCTGCTTCCCCCTCCCTCTCTCTGCCTGCCTCTCTGCCTACTTGTGATCTTTGTCAAATAAATAAATAAAATCTTTAAAAAAAAAAAGATTTTATTTATTTATTTGACAAAGACAGACAGAGGAAGAAAGGAAATACAAGCAGGGGGAGTGGGAGAGGGAGAAGCAGGCTTCCCACCGAGCCGGGAGCCTGATGCGGGACTCCATCCCAGGACCCTGGGATCATGACCTGAGTCAAAGGCAGAGGCTTAACGACTGAGCCACCCAGGTGTCCCACTGACTGTATATTTATACTGCATTTTAGAATCAGTTTTTTAAAATATGGAGAACCCTTGAGTAACTGATCCCCTACGAGATTAAAACAATAGGACAACAAGTACACCTTCTTAAAGCAGGTCTTCCTATAAAGTGAAACGGCACTTTAACATTCCTGTGTAGTACTTAAACTTGGACATACACTCTGGAGTCCCAGAAAGATACTACATCTTTTTGAATGATTTGTTGTCCCTTTTCACCCAGGTGTGGGAGTATGAGGACCCAAGTAACCTAGGTAGGGCTGCTGAGCTCTGCTACTTATTCTCTAACATGCAAACCCACCTAAAGCCAGCACTAGTTCCTTTACTTCCAAGCCAGCCACTACAGCCCCCACGCGGCAAATTCAATTCACTGAACAGCAGCATCTTCCAGGCATTTTCTAGGCACTTGGCACACATCAGTAAATAAAAGAGACAAAAATCTCTGCCCCAGCGAGTTTATGATTCTAAATAAAAATAAGTGACAAATACATAAATAAACAGAATTCTAAAGTAGGTTAGAACATGAAGAGAACTGGAGTGGGGTGGAGGGGAAGGGAGAACAGGACGAGAGAGACCAGGAGTGCTGGGCTGGAGGGCCAGCTGCAGGGTTAAATAAGGTGGTCAAAGTAAGTTTCGTTGAGAGGGTAAGCCTTGGGCAAATGACTTGAAGGAGCTGAAATACTTAGACAAGAAGATATACAAAGGAAGAAAATTTCAGGCAGAAAAAAAAGTAAATGTAAAGGCCCTGAGGTAGGAAAAGTTCCTATTGTTCCAGAAACGGCCAAAAAGCCAGTGTGGCTGGAGAAAATAAAGGAGAGAAGCAGGAGAGAGGGTAGAGGTCCCAACGTAAGGAAGTACAGTATCAACTACACCGCACTCCAAGCAAGCTGTGAACTCCAATATGAAAGGACATGGCATCTTCTTTTATTATCTACAAGCTCAAAAAATTGTCACATTCTATCACTCTGTCTATCCTTTGAATTTATTTAAAATATGTGATATTTTAATAAGAATAAAATCTACTGAATTTTCATTTGTTATACATTTAGTTGTCAAAAAGAATATAGGATGAGACAAGTTATTTAGAGAATTAATTTTAACAAAAATATTTTTAGAGCAGCACATTCCCATTTTGGTGTATGATAGTCACAAGGCAGACTTCTCTAAAATTTATAGATTTATGCAACACTTTATAGGTAAAGAAAAGTTGACCAGCTATGTGGGTCAACTTGGAATTGTGTAAGTCCTATAGAAAATCACAACACATACATTAAAAAAAAGTTTGCTTAAAAACAGCTTCATGTCTCAGAACAACAGGCTCATGTTAACAGAACACTTAATTTCAGTTACTACAGAACTGAGTAGCAAAGCAGGAGGTAAGTGAAACAGCTTCAAAGAGCACATATCAATTAGCAGAAATGTTAATCAAATAAATGAATATATGTATACAATGTAATTCTACAGACCTCTTCTTCAAAAAGCTGGAGTATACACTGGGTGAAGAATAACTAAGATTGTAGGCAATTAAAAAGGGGGAAGGGGAGATCTGATTATACAGAATTTAAAAACTAATGTCTGGGGGGCGCCTAGGTGGCTCAGTCGTTAAGCCTCTGCCTTCGGCTCAGGTCATGATCCCGAGGTCCTGGAATCAAGGCCCGCATTGGGCTCCCTGCTGGGCGAGAAGCCTGCTTTTCCCTCTCCCACTCCCCCTGCTTGTGTTCCCTTTCTCACTGTCTCTGTCAAATAAATAAATAAAATCTTCAAAAACAAACAAACAAACACCAATGCCTGTCACAAATCACTATTAATAAATATGAAAGGGGGAAAGAATTCACACAAACGATTAAGATAAACACTGCAATCTCAAAATGTAAATAGGCATATGTATAATTTACAAAAACAAAAATACTACAAGTTGGCAATGACACAATGGGTACTTACACCCTCCTGATGGGACTGGAAATTGGTACAGTGTTTCCTTCTTAAAAGCTATTTGGCAATTCACATGTATTGTTTGACAACCTGATACGTAAAGGAAATAACTAAAAATAAAGCTTATGAACAAGCTTCTGACTTATGAACAAGGATTTAATTGCAACATTATTCATGATGACCAAAACTCAGAAGTAGCCTAAGAATACAAAACTGGGAGAGTGGTTAAATGATCCACAGTCATCACTTGGGCCCACTGGAATGGAGGCAATGGAGCCCAGAGGCCTGTGGCTTTATTTAACCCACGGTTGTACTCACCTCTACAGAATAAGACATTTCTTCATTACAGTTGTCATTGATTTTCTCAAATAGTTCTTCACATAACTACAGAGGCAGAAGGAGAGAGGTGTGAACAGCATAAACGAGAGAAGTATAAAGATACCCACGAGTGCTAAATGAATTAGCGAGATCCCTTTTCTCTTTCTCAAAATATTAATGGTAACAACATCAAAGGAGAATGCATTGAATGAAATAAAAGGACAGTTGTGAATTTTTATTCTCCCTTGATGACAGCATCTCAGAAATGTTTCCTTAGAAAGCAAGCCACATTTAGGGGAAAAGTTCTGTCTCTTCCTGTGTTAGGTCCCTAGCACATTAAATTTATGTAGAATCCAATTCTTCACACTATCCTAGAGTAACAGTGAATCTACTACTATTATGTAGCAGTCAAACTACTATTAAACTACATTTTGGGGACGCCTGCGTGGCTCAGTCAGTTAAGCATCTGCCTTCAGCTCAGGTCATGATCCTAGAGGCCTGGGATCAAGTCCCACTTTGGGTCCTTGCTTAGGGGGAGTCTGCTTCTCCCTCCGCCTGCCACTCCCTCTGCTTCTGTTCACATATGCTTTCTTTCTCTCTGACGAAAACAAAACAAACAAAAAACCCTACATTTTGTACACATTTTATTATGCTATATAAATTTTATTTTATATTGTCAGTTACCATACACATTACAAATCATACATACGTATGTATAAAGAGAGAATGCATACTATTTCAAGGGAGTAAATGAAGGTATTTAAGAATTAATTTTGATAGTACGGAGGTGCCTGGCTGGCTCAGTCAGTGGAACATGCAACTCTTGATCCCAGGGTTGTGAGTTCAAACCCTACGCTTGGTATAAAGATTACTTCAAATAAATAAATAAAAGAATAATTCTGTCTGTATAAAATTTTCCCCTTTACCTTTGTCTTAAGATTCCAAGCCCTTTATAAGAGGCTATTCTACCTCACAGTGACATTTCCAACAGAAAACATTAACTTTTCTAGATCAGGAAAATCACAAAATTTCACTCTCCCCATCCTTTGAATTTATTCAAAATGTGATATTTTAATGGGAATACTTAATAAAATTCTATTAAATTTTCATCTGCTACACATTTAATGTTTAGGCAATCAGTACAGATTTGGAAAATGAACTCTATGTTGGTGATTCTCTAGAAGTCTAAACAGAATTTAAAAATTTATTATAAATGGAAGTTTCTAAATGATAATCTTGTTTTTAAAAATTAATGCTTTTGCATTAAAATTAAAAATTTCAAAATTCTACAAGAGATATATATGTAATTATATAAAAACAGATTAGGGGCACCTGGGTGGCTCAGTCATTAAGTGTCTGCCTTCGGCTCGGGTCATGATCCCAGGGTCCTGGGATCGAGCCCTGCATCGGGCTCCCTGCTCAGTGGGAAATATGCTTCTCCCTCTCCCACTCCCCCTGCTTATGTTCCCTCTCTCACTGTTTCTCTCTGTCAAAATAAATGAATAAAATCTTTTTTAAAAAAAGATTAAAGGAGAAGGATGGAGAAACTAAGTGTATGATGGAGTAAACAGACTGTTTAGTATAATTTGCTATAATCTACAAAAAATTATTTCATTGCTAAAGAAGTATACATAGTAGTAGAAGTAAGGCCTCCAGAACCACCGTGCCTGCATTGGGATTCTAGCTCTACCCCTCCATTGGGCAAGTGATATGACCTTCCTATGCTTCAGTTTCCTCGTCTTTAAAATGAGGGAAATAAAATAAAGGTAACAACTGCATCTACTTCTTAGGGTCAAACTAGGAGGATGAGCTGAGTGAGTATCTCTGAAACACTTGGACCAGTGCTCGCACATCATGAGTGCTACACAGTATTTTCTCTAATTATTATTATAATTTTTGCTACTCCTATATACAAAGGACAATTCCTAATAGATGTTTTAATATTGACATATATTTTTAACAGAAGAAAATACGTTAGTATGTTCAGTTTTTTCTGAAAAATTCTTAGTCTTTACTGATAGTTAAGCATTTCAATTATACAGCTGAATTTAAAATTATAGTCCAATAATCCATTAGAAAAAGTAGCTGTTGCTCTCTTATGTAACTTATTCTCAGAATACAGAGGTTACACTAGGCCTATAGTAAAAAAAAAAAAAAAAAAAAAACTTTAAAATTAATTCCAAATATCATCAATAAAAGCAAACCACACTTCTGTCATTAATGAGAGAAGTTCCTTCTAAATTCCTAAGTTTCTATGTTACAACTCCTCTCCATTCCAAACATAAAAGGTCAAAAGACACTGCTCTTAAGAATTCTCAGACTATTCAAGCTTACTGTGATAATATTAAATTAGTAAGATAAAAGGAAAATCTCTCTCATAAGGCAATTAAAAAACTAAAAAATAATCATATGCTTAAAAGGTGATCTATATTATGGGATTTGGGAAACAATCTGATCAACAACATCGATCAGGTGTCCCAGGATTCAGAACAAAGCCTGGCACACGCTACCATTTTTTAAAGAAGCTGGTAGCACTGTTCAAAAGATAAAATACCCAGACAGGGGTATGCAGCACAACTTTTACAAAATGCCAACTTCCCACATTTAAAGACAGACATGTATACGTGTCGGTGTTTTCCATTAGACTACTAGATCCTTTGAAGAAAGGAAAAAGTGATTTTTTTTTTGTCCCTTGCATATGATAGTCCCTGTATAAATGTTTGCTAAATAAAAGAAAAATATATATCGTTAAAGCAACTGAAAACTAAAAGTAATATTAAACAGAGGTCTTTTGTTGTTTTTTGTTTTTTTTACCTGTGGAATGATGCCAGCCTGGCTTTCTTCTTGTTTACCCATCATTGTATAAGATTTCCCAGCACCAGTCTGCCCATAGGCAAAAATACAGACATTATATCCCTCAAAGGCATGTAAGAGCATTTCCTTTCCAATGTCATTGTACACACGGTTTTGAGATGCAAAACAGGGATCTTCAGGCTATAGAGATTAAAAGGAGAAATAAATGGCATTTTATTCGTATTCTTTCCTAGGCTTATTTGATTACTGCTATAATAAATTTAAATGTTTGGAATCTCAACAGTCACCTATTAAAATATAAAATTTTTAAATACTTTCTACACATAGCTTATTCTTCTCTTATTTCACACACATACACACAAACACAGTCATCCAGCTCAGCCATACATAAAAATATCTGCAAGAAATTATCTCACTTAATTACATGTCACTTTCCATAACCTTAAAAGTATCACTCTTCCATCCACAGAAAGGTACAAGAAAATTTTCTTAAATGGAAAATGGTACTAAAAGTTCAAAGGTCAAGTCCACATATAAAAATACTTCCCAGCACTCACTCTAGGTAGTATGGCTATTTCTCAATAAACCTAGCTTTTAGTGACAAATGTCCAACCCCTTTCACATGTCTTTCTGTTGGTCATCAGGTTCTGTCAGTAGTTTAAAACCTCTCCTACTCTAGCACAAAACAGAAAAAAAAAAAAGTGTAATGAAGAGAAACAAATGCAAGCTGTAGTTCACGAAAAATCCCTAGAAGCCAGCAAGATTTGGGTCCTTTACTAATAAGAAGAGTACTGCAAAGGGCCCCACTCTCTCCATTTTCCTAGGTGTTAGTCATCTCTGTACTCTTTCTGGACCTTCAAGCTCTTTCAAAACTGTTCACAACCAGCACTGCTCTATTATTACACTGCACCGTAAGGATACTCACCGAGGTGTGAGACCAGTAGGAGTAGTCGAAACTAAAGGACTTTGGAGCTTCCTTTGGGTTCTTTGGGTTAATAATACCTAGAAAATGAAAATGATTTGGTTTTGTAAGTCACTCAGTTACATGTTCTTTAGTTCAACATGATGTTGTTTTAAGTTCAAAACATCCAAATCAGTAAATTCATACCACTGAATCTGAAGAAGGCAATCGAAAAACAAAAATAATCACATTTTTAATAGGCAGGATCTGTACATAGAATTTAGAAGAATCGGACCATCAACATCCACTGGGTGCCACCAGGATTCAGAACACAGCCTGGTACATAGAAGGTGCTCAGTAAATGGTAAGTAAGAACCCAAAATTCAGAAATGGGCCACATAATTATTTGCATATATATTTCAATACATTAGAAATAAAAATCAGGGCCCCCTAAGTGGTTTAGTTGGTTAAGCAACTGCCTTCAGTTCAGGTCATGATCCCAGGGTCCTGAGATTGAGTCCCACATCAGGCTCCCCCTGCTTCTCCTTCTCCCTCTGCCTGCCACTCCTCCTGCTTGTGCCCTCTCTCTCTCTCTGTCAAACAAATAAATAAAATCTTCTATAAATAAATAAATAAATAAAAATTAGAAAATTACTGGATACAACTACCTGAAATAAATCCTTTTTAAAGATCTTATTACCTACTTTAGAAAAGCATTTGATAATTAAGTATTCATTGGAAAGACAGTCTTATTTCTGAAATCCACATTTGATAATAACATTTTATATATATATACACATACACACACACACACACGTGTACTGTGTATGTCTACAGTGGAATCACAGACCACAAATCATCTGCCGAATGTTGTAGGCAACAAAATTGGTTTAAGGATTTTATTTATTTATTTATATGAGAGAGCATACCCATGAGTACAAGCAGGGAGGAGGGGCAAAGGGAAAGGGAGCAGGGAGTCTGACTTGGGCTCGATCCCAGGACCTGAGCCACCCAGGTGCCCTTAGACAGCAAAATTACTTTTTGACAGAAAAGCAAGAAGCCTTACTGCCCCAACTGAAAGTATTTCAGGTGTGACAAACCCAGGCGTACCATACTTCAGGGACCGTCTGAACCCGAGGCTTAGTCTCCCTTCCTTCCTCACACACGGAAAGCCTTAGCGCCTCCAACTGCACATGGAAGAGAATCTTTACAACACGGGGTCATGAAATCTCTTCAAAGACCAGACGTCTCAGCCAATCCACTTCTCTAAGGCACGGCCACATCCCAGGCGATCCGTGAGATCACGATGAAAAAATAACCGTCCAGGGCAGCTGCCGCCCGGGACACAAACAGCAACGGTCGCTACGGCGCTCAGTTCTCCCTCCCGCCGGGCTCCACGGCCGCGCCACACACTTCTGCTCAAACCTCAACTGCTGACAGTGTCAACAGGCTCGCACTGCACACAATCATGTGACGAGGAGACATGGTTCTAGAAAGAACATCTCCCCACACACAAACCGCAACCTAAGCAATGAACCAAAAGGCACCAGGGATGAGATTTACATAATGGCCAACCTCGAGCAGCGCTAGAAGCACGGTAAGCCCTGAGCTCCGGGAACGTCCTGCGGACCAGCCCTCCCGCCACTAAGGCAGACAGAGGTGGTACTACCGTCACTGTACAGAGACACCGTCACAAAGAGGTTCAGTAGCGTCAGCAAGGCTACAGAGCTAGCTAGTGGCAACCCAGGAATGCGGACTCCGCCGGCTCGGCTACAGAGCCCCCACTCGTAGCCAAGGCACCCATCTACAGGCTTACTCTGCCTCTATGTAGCGACTGCCAGGGCAAACACAGTAAGGCATTTTATGCGTATGGATACATATGTGTGCATGTATGCACATGTCTACGACCACCCCCTAAAATTACATCATAGGTGTTGTTTAAAACCTTCTTATCCAGGGGCACCTGGGTGGCTCAGTGGGTTAAAGCCTCTGCCTTCAACTCAGGTCATGATCCCAGGGTCGTGGGATCGAGCCCCGCATCGGGCTCTCTGCTCCTCAGGGAGCCTGCTTCCCCTTCTCTCTCTGCCTGCCTCTCTGCCCACTTGTGATCTCCGTCAAATAAATATGATGAAATCTTAAAAAAAAAAAAAACAAAAACCTCCTTACCCATTGAAAACTAAGAGCTAGGAGGATTACAGTTCCTAAAAGATGAAAGACTACCCACAAACTCTACCAAGCAAATGAAACTTAGTGTCACACTATGTGCACCAGATTCAGGCTTCAGTAGCTCAGCGACAGAGACCAGGACAAGACGCTGGACGTGACCCCTCAAGTAGTCTTCACTGCTCAAAAACATGGTTAATATAAACACTCTCGAACCTCTAGGAAATTTGCTGTTATAAGACCTTGAAGCCATACTTCACTCCATCTTTTAGCTACTCTGGTACCAATTCTGCCAAGAACAACTTAAGATAGTTTCCAGTTGCCACCTCTTTGTTCCCTTTTCCCTAGGACTAAGCATTAGAAACACTACACCAGCAAGCAATTTTCTTGATCCACAGGAAATCCTTTTCCCCTTCCTCAAGATTCCCTCCTTCCAGATCTTTGCAGCTTCTGAATCTAAGTCTCCTAATGTACAGATTTGAACCCAAGCTGCCTTCTAAGTGACTGCCTGCATGTAGACAAAACTTTTTATTTTAACATAAATAAGTAAATCAAAATATAATTCTGAAGAGCTACTTTCATAATAGTTATGTCAAACAAGATGAAATTTACCCACAATATTTAAAAGGTTTTAATTCTTATATGAAGGATATTTTACAGAAAACACATTAGAACAATGTAAAACTCAATACTGTTGTTACCTGTTTGAGGGGGTAGTGTAAGCCCCGGAAGGCATGCATAATTTTTTTTTTTGAAGATTTTATTTATTTGACAGACAGAGATCACAAGTAGGCAGAGAGGCAGGCAGAGAGAGAGTGGGGGGAAGCAGACTCTCTGCTGAGCAGAGAGCCCAATATGGGGCTCGATCCCATGAACAGAGCCAAAGGCAGAGGCTTTAACCCACTGAGCCACCTAGGCGCCCTGGCATGGATAATTTCTATATGTTAGCTGAAGAGTATTTAATAGGATAGTTTGTTTTATATAATTCTTTACATTTATATATGTCTTGTACTATATTGAATATACGAAATGTTTCCTAATAAAAAAATTCGAAACTTTCCAACTCTGCAAACGAAAGCACTGTTATAAAAATAAAATATCAGCAACAGCCCTTCACCTCATCAGAAGCCCACGATCTCTACCATTACTTCCAAGGACAACGAACTAATGTTTTCTAATGTGCAAAGGTTTTCTCTTTCTGAATTAGTAACAGTTGAGATCTAACTTACTTCCTTTAACCTAACTAAGAAACAGGATGTTTCCAACTATGACTAAAACGCGGCGGGGGGCGGGGGCGGGACACAGTACATGTAATGGGAAGGAAATGGGATTTGGATCAAAGGATCATCCAGAATATGTTATTATTCTAAACAGATGATGAACACTTAGTAAATATATTCAAAATTTTTTGTCATCTGGGGTACCACTGCACTGAGTCCTCCCTAAAACTGAGATAATACCTAGCTCACAGGATTAAATGAGTAAAGCACTACACAAATGCTAATTTTCAAAAACAGGTATTTTTTGTTTTTAACTTTCTCAGTGTTTTGGTGGATATGTTAACCCTATTCCATGGTCCTTAAACCAAAGTGAGGAAAGTTCATCCACTAACTGGTAAAATAAGAATTCTATTTCTTGGGGCACCTGGGTGGCCAGTGGGTTAAAGCCTCTGCCTTCGGCTCAGGTCATGATCCCAGGGTTCTGGGATAGAGCCCTGCATTGGGCTCTCTGCTCCGTGGGGAGCCTGCTTCCTCCTCCCTCTCTCTGCCTGCCTCTCTGCCTACTTGTGATCTCTGTCTGTCAAATAAATAAATAAAATCTTAAAAAAAAAAAAAAAGAATTCTATTTCTTGGCAAGAATCAAAGTACTGCATTGAGGTCCTACAGCTGTGTCACCGAATCTCTGGTGTTCCTACCACATTATAAATCCCTTCAGTATATGGAGCATGTCTTGGGGATCCCTCTACAATGCCCTGCACCAAACAGGCACTCAGATGCATGTCCTTCTTTTGTCATGTATAATTCTAATATCATTAAATCCTATACCATTTACAGGAGCATAGAAAGAAAAATGAAAACACTGCATACCTATGCAATATACACGTAAAATATCAGTTCATTTCATCAACTTTCAGAGAAAGAATATAGAGAGAATTGTATTACCATAAGATGTGGCAATATTTGATATGATGGTTCTCTGTATCACAGTCAACTGAACGAAGAAAGCATTAAGAACGAAATAACAGTAATTAATGAATATCTTCAACATATAAACTATTTTCATAACATAAAAGCTGTTACAAATGCAGCATGCCTCCCAGGGCCATGTGTCATCAGTATGCAAGCTTTGTTTAGGATAAATCACCACTTTTTCTGCAACGAATGGACTCCAGGCATATTTTGAGGATTGGAGTCAGAACATAACTCTGTTTTAAATGCTCTACCCCTCATATTGCTTTATTTCCTATAAAACCACCCTTCATGCCACTTTTTAAGGCTCCTTTTAAGCATCTTCCAGACCTAAGGCCTCCCCACTCCTAGTGAGACTCCTCTGGACACACAGTATACTCCAGACCTAGACCCATCTCCGCAAGCAACTTTTAACAGATGATCTTAAGAGTCATCTCTGACTTTCTTCTCTCACACCCCACATCTGACTTATCCTGTCAACTCTACTTTTGAAATGAATCTAGAATCCCATGACTTCTTCACCACCACCACCATTGTCGCCCTGGTCCAAGCCTCCACCTCTCTCACCTGGAAGATGGCACTGCAAACCACAGTCCTCTTCCCACAATAACCCAAATCGTATCCACATCATGCCTCCAGTGAACATTCCAACAAGTTCCCAACATAAACTGAAGACAACTCTATTCCCTCTCTGACCTCCTACCCAGTTATCAGAGTGATTCACCCCTTATTCCAGCCCCACTGCCCTT